CAGATATTCATCGAATAGGCCAGAAATTCAATAGACGCAAAGGCATCAAGTTGAAAAGTATTTACGCGATTAGGTTTCATCAAGTATATTAGGTCTAAGTTTACACTACGCTACAAAGTGATGCTGGATAGGCGTTCACTTAGTCCGAGTTTGTGACTTGCTCTGCCATTCAAAGTGGGAAGCAGGTTCCTTCTTTTGTATCTTTTAATTCTTTTGTGGAACCCTTAATCTGCCCCAAAATCGGAAATACGATTTTTACTAAGGTCATTCCTGGTTGTTACTTGAACAATGACAGTTGGTGATAATTTCTTTTCCATGCTTCAAAAGGTGCCCTTACACATTTAAAAGTATGCGCCCATTTGTACCACCTAGACCTGAACATGCAGAGTCTATTGACTCCTACATATTTGAAGAACTCAAAACTCACCTAAGCCCTCCTGTCTTTCTTCCTTGTTAAACGATTTGTTTGCAAGACGTGAGTTATGAAACAAATTGCTTAGAACCATTATGTAATGCAAGTCTAGATTTGTTTTTTAAAGATCTGAGGATTTCTTTGAGCTTGTGGGAAGTATTATACACTTTAGAGCACATATTGAAAGCCATGGAGTTATTACTCCAAGCATTTAAATAACAATGCCATCTTTTAAGGCAGCCACATTCCACCCTTCTATCAGTGAAATTTAGTCGTAAGCGGCAATAGGGTCGGAAACATTTTCGTAATTTCTGGTAAGATCAGTCTGCTCCAACGATAATTTAAAGTATGTGAGTAACTAATAAAAACGATAATCCGCTTTCTGCCGATGCTCAAATTTTCAAGCCCTCAAGCGCATTTGGGTTTCATGTAAGCGACCACCATATTTATAAATTATGAAAAAGTTTATTAGATGGAGGTATAGTAACTTGTATTACTTTCCGCTGATTAAACACACCTTAACTTTGCCTTCACACCCACAAGTGCACAATGAGTCGGCTTTTAACGGGAGCTAACCTCTTTACCACCAAATAAATCAGTAGTTTCCTGTGTTCTCTTTTCAAATATTCATAAATTGTGTGTGAAGCGTCTACCGCTGATTCCTTTTTGCTCATCTTTAACACAAGGAAATCGACTACACAAATGGTTCGTCGTAGCCACTTGTAAAGCGAAAGAACAATGAATTCTGCCTTAGGTATGGAATTAAGCGTTTAATGCAAACAATCAGTGGTCTAGAACCTAATACTCAGTTGTGTAAAAGATGGCCTAGAGAAGTCTGAGGTCCTGCAAAACCGAACTGAATGATTTGGGTGGTGCTCTGATAACTCACACAACCGACAATGTCGATTATATAAGCTTTTTCATAGGTAGTTCCTACTTTGGCATTTAAAATCATAATCAATTGAGGTCTTGGATGATTCAGTCTCGGTTCTGAAAAGAAAAAGGAAGGGTCAAGTAATCTTGATGCTTTGGAGCAAAATTATTCCTTAAGCAGAAGAAATTTTTTTATCTCCATCTTAACTACAAAGTGGTTCTTGACGATCCTAAATGCTGTAATTGATTACATTTATTGAAAAACATTGGCTGCGGAAAGATGCATGCTTATTATAAACAGGTCAAAATATTGCTGCAATTTTTCTGGCCTTAGTATTCAGCAAATTATTTTTTTATACCTTTGGGGATTTGTCGAGACATTACTGTCACTTCCAATACATACATTTAGCAGGTATTTTAAGCATCTTTTTAGGCACCATTTTTTGTATCAATATGTTGAATACATGTTAATAACTAATCCGGCTTAAAATAATGGTCAAATCAATTTGTCAATAATGTTTATGGACTAATTTTGTGCGACTATATTGATCATCACCCAATTTAATTTCTCGAAATATCTCGGGATCGCTCTGAGACCACAAGGCGCTCTTGTCGAGCTTCTAAAATTGCGCGTTTTTCCCTACAGTGAAATATAATCTTAATCAAGTTAAATCTTCCAGCGGAACTGCATTAGGCTCCATCGAAACTCCTTCTAGTTGCTGTTTAACCAGGCGATGCTCAATCAAGGCCTCATCCATACTCATGGTATTTTCTTCAAACAGATAAACTTAACTTCCGCAAAAATGCAATTAATTCAAGAAAAAAAGCCTTTTTTTCAGATTTTTCGTTCAGAATTCATTGTGAATTTTGATAACATTCTTGACTTATGATTACATAATTATTCCTCCATAATCTTTGATATACCGATAAAAAATCTTAAATGTTGGAAACCACCACAAATCTTGTTTGACGTAGTGCTGGTTCGAAACTAAACTATCGTCACAATAAATCTGGTCTTGATCTAAAAATTATGTCTGAAAACCACACAATAATGCCAGAGTTTAACACAATCTTTGCCCATACAGAGCACTCACAAAAGGAAACTTTTCGTGTTGTTGCTCTGGCGATATCGTAGACCAAAAATTTGTATCCGAAATCAAAACTGTTTAGTAAAAAGCCCGAAGTGTAGATATCCAGGCATCGAAGTCGCAATTTGCCTCTTTTACAACGGAACCCTTTTGATTTATCACACGTTTGCATCTGATAAGATAGGCGAAGGCTTATTATCAGTTACCTCAAAATCTTATACAATCCTAACAAAACAAAGAAGGAAGGGCTTTTGTTATCAGATCGTTCGAAAGGATGAGTATACGGGCCGTGTGCTTCCTCGTATTTCCAAAACAATTTCAACATTTAGTGCATCCAAAATCTGCTCCAAATTTTTTCCTTTGGCCTGTTTCACAAATGCATCCTGTTTTTTTTGCAGTATTTACTGTGCTAGTCTGAGGCTATAAATAAGTAGTTAGGCAAAAAAATGTCCATTTCGCATCAAATATTTGAAGAGCCATTCAGATTAAGAGTTAAATGTTCATATGTCACGTGTTATTCGTTTTCAGTGAAAGCATAATGGGTTCTTCATGAAAGTGAATTTGAGTAATCTTCAGATATGCGGATTTTGGTTGATAGTTTATTAATGATATTGGCAAAACAAGTTGCTGTTAATTGACTCATTGTCTCGTCTCAATGCTTATGCCAAAATGGGCTGGTGGTACTATAAACGAAATCGCGTCTGCAGACCCATTTGAAGGTTTAAATATCGATCGAACGCGTATCTAGATATAACAGTAATCGGTTATAGAAAACGCACCGGTTACGACAGAAAAATGCAATTCACACGGATTAAATACTAACCGACATTAAATTCTTTGTTACAGGGTGTGAAGGGCCAACACAGCACAAATAACCGTGTTGAAACAGAACACGATTTAGCTGCTAGATTCTTAAAGTAAAGAAACTAATAAGAATCACGACTGTGTTAAAATGCGCCGCCATAAAAATTATTACTTTTTTGACGTGAAACTGTCTGGAAAGAGCTTTTCTTTTAAATGAGGCTATTTATCATACTTTTAAGACTTAGCAATGCGTTTCGGCTTCTTCCTTAACATTTTTTTAAATATAATCAACGGACGCACTCATGTTGCCTAGGTGATCAAGCTCTTCTGACTTACAGTAAAGTTTCATGACTTTCATGGACCTTTGCAGAAGAGTCTGAGCCATGCAAAGCAGAGTAAGTCATCTTTCCCAAACGATTACCCCATTTATTTTTTTGAAGGGAAAAATGGAGACTGAAGGTAACCAGTAACACTAGGTTTATCACCAAAGTACTTCACCTATATTTTCTCGGCATGTGGATCCTGCAATTCGGTTAGATCATGGTTAAACAAATCAGTCATTTACCTGTCTCTGGTATATGCATTTCACCCATGATACCTATCGCTATTGAGTTTGTAAAGCCGTATTTTCGGATATGCAATTAAAATGACGGGATCTACCCTCTCTTGCTTTACTTCCTCTGTGCCTGTCAAACTGGTGTAAAAGTTATCAATACACACTCACCTCTTGTTTGAGGGCACTGTACTGTGGCCTCGTCCATTCGTGGACATAAACATGCGGTAAGGGTGGATTTCAATCTCTGTTTATCATGAATGCAGCAATGAAATGAAGATAGCAATTCGTTCAATCACGTATTGCCTTTTTGCGTACACGGAGTCAGCAATAGCTGTTTAAAAGCAATTAGAGCATTTTCATCAGACTGAGCCGAACCGAACGGGTTTGCCTTTCGTAAGGTTTATATTTGTCTAGTTTTATATGCCTAACTGCCAAAACCACCACCACTGCCGCCGCCGCCGCCACAACCACCACCACAAAATGGGCCCATAGTAGTAAAAGCCTCGTGGTTCCTGCATTGGACCATCTGTGGATATTAATGCGTTTTATCATGGGAGGCAGAAATATTCTGGCACTGCGTCTCACATGAGAGTTTCGTCTGTTTTTGTAAAATCTTTTCCGAAAACTGATGTATGACATTGTATCTATGGGCACAAATGCAAAATAAATTGCTGCCATTTACATTATAAAATAAACGACAGAATCGGACTTAAACCACGCGACTGCTTCAGTTGAAAATAATTTACAAAGGGGAAAGATGGTAGAATTAGTGTATTTGGGGATCAAATGGATTCTGGGATGGTTTTGTGGCCAAAGTTTCTCCCCCTAAGCTAAACTGCGCATCCCGAAATCCTCTGAATACCACGATTGTGCTCTATACAGGCTGTCCCCCCAATCCATCTTGCGCATTCATCCAATCACTGTCGTCCAGGTCTGTAGCCAATTAATGACCTTATAGCCACCAGCTGTCGGCCAATTGATGTTTGAGTGTTAAGCTCAAGGCATGCGCTCGTGTGCGTCCGTAAGCGCGCGCGTGCTTGAGCTCAGAATAACCCAAAAACGGGCGAAGCGGGAGCGTTTGGTGAGTAGGGTATTACTACGAACGCGCGCTCACATACTCACCCGCGGTGGAGCGTGACAACATCCACAGTGCCCTGTCCTCTTCCGAGCATCGGTTCTCATTGCTGAATCGGAATGCACTAGTGGTGGAATCCAGCACCTAAAACCAACCTGCTGATACCGCGAAAGAATCTCTTAGAACCACACCATGGCGAGTTTCATCGCCAAGCAACTCATTGGGAGCCAGTTGGACTCGGTTAAAGGTGAGTCTTGCGGGCTTCATCCTATTACGGCATAAAGTTAGAGGTACAGATTATGCATATCCCGATTTGTTGTCAAATACTAACCCATGTGACTGCAATCTTATCCACATTTGGATTTAAGATGTAGACACCCCTCTTGCCACAGTGCTGAGAACTAAGGCTCTTAGATTGTTTCAGATTTCTAACCTCACTTCATGCATTTACCATGCATTATTTCCGAACTCATCACATGTCTAGGCAGCATTCGAATTAATTATCTCTTAGAAATTATTCATTGATTAATGATTGCTAAAACATGGACGTGTGTCTAAATAATTGATTAAACCATGATTGCTTTCCCAGGGTCGTTTAATGATTTCCCTACTTGTTGCAACAGCTCTAGTGTTAAATGAACACATTGAAAGTCATCCAACCGTGCCACTCTGCCTTGCATGCTTTAACCAAAACACTGTACATTTTAAAATCCGGTTGTTCAAGGGCACTTATCGTTTTAAAATTTACAAGGCTTTAAAAATTCCTTATTTAATCGTACGATGTCGAAATACATTTATATTGATTAACATATGATGCATTTTGCGCTACATGCATCAGAATATTCTAAAACGCACCTTATTGTGTCTATTCCAGTTCGCTGTTTTCGTGTGGGCACCCAGAAATGATAATTGCAACTCAGGGCACGTTTTGTTGATTGTATCTGGTACCAATTGGCTGTTACTCGCGTATTTTGCGCAAGAATGCTTTGTTAAATCTTGGCTTAAAAACACATAACCAAGCAATTTCTACTTCGGTGTAATAAGTAAACAATGTATTGATCATTTATAATGCCGCTTTAAGGAGCTCTGGGCGACAAGAAAGACGAAGGCGGGTCTTCTGGCGCGAGGGAAATCGATCCCGAAGTCGAGGAGGCCTTGCGAGAAGCCGAGCAGCGAAGACAGGAGAAGCACCGAAAAATGGAAGAAGAACGTGAGGCAATGCGCCAAGACATTCGCGATAAGGTAGAGCGTTGTGCCTGGCACCAGTTGTATTAGAACAACTAACAAATGTCCCCTGCTATTGTTTGCTAAACACTCACGTCCATCAAACTACGCGATACCTGCGGCGGTGCCATCAGACACTGTGTGTGGAAGATTCTGTAGATATAGTAGCTGTGCATGCTCATCGCTGGATCGCATGTTTTTGTGGAACTTTTGACTGTGGTTGCAAACATCTCAAATCTTAGCTGACTTAAGTCACACCTTCATCAAATTATGTCATTGTTCCTTTGTCTACACATCTAAGGCTGTTCGGGAAAGTGTGACCTCCTTATTGAGCCCCGTACAACGCGAACGTTTCTTTACCCAAGGCAAACCATTAACGCTATTTTGATTGCTTCTTAAAGTGCATGGGAAGGAGAACCTTAGGAGAGCTTGACGGATATTGTAAAGGGGCTAGGCAGTAATGATTTCACGAATAAAATCGTAAAAAAATCTTTGTTTAGAGTCAATAAAGAGGTTTAGAATGCTGTCATCGTATCGCCTAAAAAAACTTACAAACTTTTAAAATTTAATTTGGATTAGCTTGCTTTCTTTTCGGAACAGGAATATGAGTGATAGGAGGCCTTTCCCTAAGGTTTATTCGCCCCCTTTGACCTATTCATTTTCGTATTGATTGGGTCAGTTTTGGCCCTTTAAATATTGCCACTGGACTATGTCAAAAGTATAGCCTCACTAAAGCAGATTCTTGCAGAAAAAAGACCAATTTTACATTTTCTCGCTTCTTTGTAAAACATTTAGATGACAGTAAGCAAATATTAACGTTTTTTGTTTAAGTGAAGAAATGAGCGCAGAGGTATGCATGACCTGCGTACTAACTTACATTAACAACTAATCGAATGTCATAAAGAGAATTTGCTTTTGATCAGAATTAATTCAAAAAATTTCCATAACTTACTGACCTACGGCACAGTTTAGAGTTGTAACCCAAACTCAATTGTGCTCAATTGTGTGCAAAGGATATATTTCAGAACAATTTCAATCAGAAAACAATATGAATAAATGAAAAAGGCCAAGTTTTTGTTACGGAACGAGAGGGAGTATTAAACCGTAAAATACAATTCTGAGCTCTGATTCAGATCTCAAATAAATCCTCTGTGTACCACAAAGGACCCATTTCTACTACTTTACCTTAAAGGAAATCTCACGCAGTGGTTAAGTGCTGGGTCAGAATGTATCATTTTGCATGAGCACTGAATGGAGTTTGGATGCTGACCTTTGATTTTTATGCTTAAAGTGCCAGTAGAAGATATTATTACGCACTGACAACTCATGCATAGAATACGATTATTCTTTGAAACCTGTGGTTATAAACTGCTGAGAAAACTGTAAAAAGATATATTGTTTGGCTTCACATTCATTTTCCTTGTAACTACGTTTCCCCTTCGACACGTTTTGCATCAGCTAGATTCATTTAGTTGCTACCAGAAATATCCATCAACTCTTACAGGGAGGGATTTTGCTTGTAATTGGGTGACTTTTTTCTGCATTTTCCTGTTTTTGACAAATTTCAACTTTCGAAAAAAATTATTCTTGTTTTACCAAAAAAAGAATTTACTAAGTTGTAGCAAACCTGCAATTATTGTCATATAAACTTCATTAATTAATAAAAGCGGTCAAGTCCTGTCATCAACAGTCTCTGACAAACCGTTTACAGCACATGTAGCAGACTTTCAGAGTATCCAATTCGGATAAAATTTGGACCCCTTAAACGCATATGTTAAACACAACTAATGTAAACTGATAGTTCCTATGTTTAGAACATTATTTTTGAAATGACATTCGAAGCACCTCGGGTTGCACATATTTGCTGTCAAATGAGTAAATTTCAACGGTTCTGTGTAAACTAGTACCTTGATTAAAGTGGTTCCAACGAGTGTAACATCCTAGCCCAATTTTAGGCATGGATATTAGAAAACTGTCGGCGTTTCTACACTGATCATTATGCAAAAATTTTGTTCGGTACCTATCCCAACTTCATGCGTGTTTCCTAGTCGACGCCCTCTTTATTTCGTTCAGAGAATGTGAATTAGCAAAAGTATAAATGTTCCGTTTACATACATCACGTTGTTCAACAAGGCCATGCACTCTAGAAAATGTGCTCTTTCGAACATGGCTCAAGGCCACCTGAATACCTTTTTTGCAGATTTTTTCTTGCTCCACGCGGATTTTAAGTGTGATACCTAAATGCACATAATTTGTAATATTGTGTCATGTCGCGAACTGAATAGTAAAACAAAAAGCGTTCTAGAAAGCGGGATTGTTATTCAACTTCAACTAAATCTGCTCACTTAAATATCCGTTTCAAGTTAAAAAAAATATGCGTCAGTTTGAGGTTTTCCTAGTTTATAAATTATTTAGAAATTGGCTTACCTCCAAGCTAATTTTCCTCTTGTTCCTAAAATAGGTTACATTTTAATTTTTTAATTCCTTAACTGTCATTTCTATTACCGTTTCAATTTCCAGGTACTGATGTCACTTACTCCTAACAGACTGTCTGTAGGCCCTCAGTGGCGTTGATTAAAATTTTTCGACAATTTTTTTCCTATTTTTGACACCGCAAATCTTTATTTAACAGCCTCTGTGATCTACCAGAAGACGAAATCTCGCTGAGATTTTTTAAATTGAAGTGAATTTTTGCTTAAAAAGCTAAGTGCTTAATCAGTTAAGTTTATCAGATCTTATAATATTTACCTTTTACCGTCCCTAGTAGCAACAATCCCATTAGTTTTTATGCATGATTGAACTAGCACTAAAATATTTAAACTTGAGATCCTTGTGAGATAACAAATATTGTTTGCAACGTCCGCCGAGATAATACACTTAGGGTAAGGGAAAGTATTAAAATGATTTCCACTATAGTATCTCGAGATTGTGCCAAGTCATTTCATAACCTTTCTCTAATCTTCACTGACTTAATCCTCAAAACGTTCGAATAACCCATGTAAGTCTGATTTCTGGAGATTATAAATTGTTGAAATTAGTGTGAGTGGTTTTTTTTATTTAATTGGGTGTGTGTATTGTCGTGTTCTGTTATAAAATAATATTAATAAATTCGACAAGACTAGCAGTTTACCGACATGTGCACTAGATAAAAATTTTGTCTAAATTGACATGCGGATGTACCCTATGTTTAAAACAATTCTGATGTAAAGACCTATGCTCTATTAGGCAGAAGACATGTGATTACCAGCGTTCTTCTAAATTTGCAGACTTAAAGGCAATGAAACAGGTGTGTAGAACCACTTCAAAAGGTGATTGATTGTTTGTTCGCCATGGTTACTGGGATTCACGCCCAAAATTTGACTGATAGCTGGTCTTATTCCATTTTTGCAATGTGTAAAATGGTCCGAAATTGCGTTATTCATCTAAACAAAAATATAGCCCGACCCACTATTCCCACTTTAGCTGCATGCCAGGCTAAAAGTGGGTGGGATAGAGGCCAACATGTGCATAAAACTCTTCTCAAGTCACAGAGCGGGGTATCCGTATTCAGTCCATTCAGCTTGAAACCTGACTCATTGCAAACCAGAACCTGGTTACGAGGCTGGGGAGCTTGTTGTGTCCAAAATTATCTTAAATTTGCATTTGCCTAACTTTATTACTTTTGGCGGTTGCTACGATGATAGTGCTGTTGAGATTGGCAGAAGAAGGCCTAACTGTCATGCAGTGTCAAAACTCGGCAGTGAGTAATATATTCTGGAAATCTGGCATTTCTAAGGTCTAAATGCTTTTTGGTTATGATTGTCTCTTGCTAAAATAGTTCACTGGTTATAATTTATTTCATTTCACCTTATTTAGAAGCCGTGGTTAAATCTTGTACAGAAAAATTTTAAAATTATCGTGCGCCTAGTAGTAAGCTGGCGCCTGCGTCTTTAGATAGCGCCACATCTCGCATGAGCTTAAAAGTATACCGCGAAGGCAAATTTTTTGTCAACTGAATAAAGACCGCACACACTTACATGCGAAAATTTAGTGCTCATGCCCTTTCCATAATGGACACACGGAGTACACTTCTGTTCTGGCAGCAGCCATGATTCAAATTTTGGTTTAAACATATTTAGGATTTAAACCCTACTTTTGTAACTGAACCAGGTGATAGATAACATACTATAAGAAATTGGTATCTTTCATTTTCACAGCATATTTGTACTTAGTGTGCGCTTAAGTTTGTTTGGTCATGTTTCTTAAGGCATGGTCTGCATTTCTTGAGTCTTACGATTTTGTGACCCACATGGCGTTGGTTATGTCATCATTTTATGGAGTGCAGCTAAGCAGTTAAAAGTTGGTACAGCTCACACTCAAAGGGTAACTAGGCTGCCTTACCTGATAAATAAATGGAATTTCGCGCAAATACGTAATCATGCCATGTGGATTTTGTATAAACAATTGATGGTATTCATGGCCATTTTTCAGTTAACGTACAGAGCACTTTTTGTAAATTATCGTATTCTATGTCAACAGTAAACCCATTTGCGTAACTCCATAACTAATGCAAAAATTAACGTCGGCTAACAACGTCAAGCTAAAGAAAGCCATGATTACGAAGACACGAATTCGTTTATATTGTTTCTGTTTATAAATTGGCGTGATAATTTTGCTTTAAAACAACAAGGGACTCCAGGTGTGTTGAACTAATGTGACGTACATAAAAATAAATTGTGCCAGATAAAATAACTAAATCGCGTTACATCTGTTTTCCTTCAACAATTCCACTAAATATGGAGTTCACGATTACGACAGCACAATCGGTTCATCGAGAAGTTATCCAGCTCATGTGGCCTAACGAATACGAGGACATCGAGAATCAATCGTTAACTGGGATGACGGTGCTTCCAACTGCCGCAATAACGGTTGAGCTCAATAACAAAGTAGTCTGATTGTGGAAGAGTGAAAATTCTAACTTTTTGCGATGCGAGCAATCTGCGTGTGTTTTCGAATGGGCAAAATGCGACGACTCTGTCCTAATCGTGAGTGTGTCGTTAGGGCGTAGCTCTGTAATCAGTTATTTGTGGCCAGTGGGAATGCAGTGTCTCACTAACGGACAGTTGAACATGCGACTTTGCCTTACTTTTAGTATGGGATAAAGAAGAAGGAGGTGGAGATCGATTTTGACGAGATCATGATGAACAACGAAGGGGGCCGATTGGGGAGGAAACGAAAGACGCCGGCCGAACTGGCTGCCGAAGCAGACCTCGCTGCGGCTGACGAAGACTCCCTCATCGGTGAGTTTTCTCTAACATTTACTATCAATGTTGTTTAAATTTCCTTATAAATACAGGCTAAGTTTTGAGTAAAATTTTTGTGATGCCGCACAAATTTTCACACTAATTTTCAATGTTAATTTAGGTCCTTAGGTTCATATTTTGCTAAACTTCCTCTTCTCACTTACTGGTAGTTATGAAGCCTAAGATAACCACTGTCTTTAACCTCTAAATGACGGCAGAATCGTTGGTATAGAATCCACCATAGGTCATATAACCTTACAGTCTCTGAAATGTCTATGTTTTTGTTAAAAATTAGTAACCATGGCACCCACAATCTCAGCGCTAGAGCCCATTGACTAGAGGCCACAAAATATGCTCTTCTGGGGCACTTTAGTTGTTTGCCAACTCTATCTTGGTGTGACTTTCTGGTCTTCCTAACGTGCTTCTGATCTATCCACTTTTCAACTTGAGCAAATAATGTTTTCCGCCTTATCCTTACCCGCGTCACGTACTTTTGCCTCACCCGAAGCTTCAACATTAGAAAATATTCTTGACAGAGTTGATTTTTTTCTTTCCAAATGCAACCGAGATTGCTTTAAAGATACATTCATAAAATGGACCCATGGCTCTACCAACTTGTAGCAGGTTAACTCCAAATCGCAGTTCTAATGTAAAGGATTTTTTCTACTAGCAAAATAAGTGTCATTACAATATTATTGTTTTTGGATGCCCACTACAAATAAAAGCAGACCAAATTAGCAATAGAAAAGGCCACCTTGTCATAGTCCCAGTGCTGACTGTCGTATTTTAATGTTAAATGCAAATTGCATTTTGCACGCAATAACGCTTTTGACACGCCCAAACGTGTGTCTTTCATGCTTCGCTTGCTCTTTCGTTTCAGGAATGCTGCCAGAGAGCATGCGTGGAATCGCGTCCAAAGTAACCGAAGCCCCTGGGAAACTCATTTCGGAGGCGTCAGAGAAATGCCTCCTGTCCTAGACTCACTTCCTGCCCTCCCTTCACCATGCGCAATTGCCTTTATTTAGCCACCTCGTAACTCGTCCCCCGTAACTCAGCCGCATAATAGTTCAGAGAATGAAGTGAACCTTCGACATGCCTCTGTGATCGTCGCGTAAAACTAGCAGCTGCCTTTCTTCCGCGCGCGGAGCCTTTCGACTGGGCTCTGGGCTCAAAACCATGCAATGAATGCTACTTCGACTTTCCATTTGTCAGATTACTATGCTCGATTTGTCCTTAATCTCACTCACGTTTTAATTTTGCGTGGCCGAACAACTGTGGGCCCGTTTGCAATTATATACTTCAGTGAAACTGCATAATTATAAATGGCCTAAGAAGCAAGCCTTCTTATCCGCCATTTTGTATAAATTTCACATTCCTCTTTATGATAAACATCGGTACTTGAATTTTTTGTAGAGTAGATGCTTGTACCAAAGTCTTCTCTTTATTATTATAATAATAATTAGCATTTTTGACTAGGCAGAACAAACAAGGCGTGGAAAAGCAGCTTATTTGAGAGCAAATGAAGTGGTCGTGCTGACCACCATCTTCCGAAGGCCAATTATGCCGTTCAAGGATCCAAAAGTGCTCATAAATAAATAAGCACAACGTCACAAGACTTTTGCTTCTAAAGATAGTCTTGTTAACATTGGGGCAATTTTTGTGAACATTTGCACCTTTCTCCAATTACGAAGCTATTTTACAAGTTAAAGAACCATGAGTTTCAGTGGTGTAGAAATTTTCGCGTTAAAAGACATTCCTATTGCGAACGTGGAGGTGCAGAGCCTTCACTGATTCAATTTTGGATTTCAGAGGTTAATTTTCTTTGATGAATGGATTGAAACATGTTTATAATTATGACCAACATTTTTTAATGATTTCAAAATAAGGTAACCTTCTGTGTCCACGGTAAATTATGATTTCAAAATGAGTGAAATTTGCATATTAGTGAAGGTCAAAGAATGTCAATATCGGACGACCGTAATAATATTTTTGGAGACCTTTGAGCTGGCTTCACGTCCATTTTTCGGTGCAGTTTAAGGATGTTCCATCTGGTCCACGTGAGGTATGCAAAAAACGTTGTAATTAATGTGAACATTTTTGTGTGCGTACTGAGTTTGACGTCATTCACCTGAAAAGTCATGCCAGAAAAATTGGTTGTGTTTCTAATAGCATCAATCACCTTCACTACAATATTTGCTGATGCTTAACCTTCACCTAAGGCGTAAATACTCTCACCACGATCATGAAAAAATGTGAAAACATTTATTTTTTTGACGTTGACGAGCGATGGTTGGTGGAATTTAGGTAGACCCACAATGCTTCACACCGTCAAAAGTTCAAATTTATTTAGGTAACGTTTTATACAAGTGGTCAACTGTTCTGGCCTTAGCAGTAACGCTTTTTTACACAATTACGAAGATATAACTTGTTTTTCCAACTTTCTTTCAGCCACGTTAGACTCACTTCTCAGGCTGTCAACTGCAAATTCAAAAACGACTTCTTTGACACCAGAGATAATTGAAATGTTAACAAAGTTCCCTTTTCCAATCGTTTTTACCTGTGAATATGTTCTACGCTAACTTTAAGTGGACTCTTTCGTTAGCGTTTTTTGGAATTAAAATGAGATGCTTATTTAACCTTAATTACACTTTCTGGGCTGATATCCTGAAAGGCTCTTTAATTAGTTTGAAGAAATATTTAAAACACAGCCCAAGGTTTAAATTTACGTCAATTTTCCCAGAACTTAACCTTCATAAAAACGACTGCCCGTGGAAGTTTGCACCGTTTAAATGCGGACCGAAAGGAAAGAACATGCACAGTAAATGAAACTGCAACTTTGTGTTAAATTGCAGAAAAAATAAGTCAAAAAACATTCTAATTGGGTAAATTTGTGCTAATTTAGTAAACGATGCAACGCATATCTTTTTTTTCTACGAATTTATCGACAGAATAATTTAACCAAAGCACTGTGTCGTGAAAGATTAAATTGTGCTTTGATCGAGATTGGAAACCAAATACACTAGGAAATGTTTCTAATTCCCTCTTGCCTATATGGTGTAAATGTTCATTTTCACGTACCTTGTTTGAGTTGCGTGTTAGGTGACCACGAAATCTGTCACAGGTCCTTCTCCTGAATATTCTGCTACTTTTTTGAATTCACTACAGTTTTGGGCCCTTCGCTTTCTGTTTAAAACTCAAATGCAAAAAAAAATTTAACTGAGCATATGAAATAACTGACCACGTCCACACAAAGCGGAATAACTCGCCCGAAGCTTACCTCAGAAGGCCTAGCCATGAATGGATAAGTAAGTTATAAAAATTACATTAGCTTTTACGATGGGGACATTAAAAGCTTCCCTTTTGCACTTCCTGTTCTTTTAAACCTTTTGCAAAAACATGCTTTGACGGAATTTTAAATGCACTGGTCTGCGCGATTTTCACTCAATGGTTTCTGGATTTCGTTTGCATTTGTACGAATTAAAAATCAACAGGCTTTTTTCGGCAAACAACGTTCCGCAGCATACTTGTCTCTTCAAATATTTTTTTGCCAATGAATATTCAATGGCTGTGTCAGTTTGCTTTAAAAAGTTTGGACTAGTAGAAAAAGACTGTTTAAAAGCCAACAGTCAACTAAATTCCTGTGGTAGTTTTTGCTAAATTTGCGTCCTCAGATTCGGAAGTTAGCTGAGGTGACGACAAAACACGGTTATTTGGCCGTCAGATCAGTTTGGGTTATCAGGTCCACTCACGACTGATGATTGCTCTCAAGTCGAGTGTGAGAAGTGGGATGATTGGCATTCGCTTGCGTTTTCATTAGTTGTGTAGAGCGCCTGAGATGAGGTTCGAATCAACGATTGTTTTCGAGTTGCCCTGGTAATGTATCCACTGACAGTTAATTATACGGACTGACATCGAAGTGGTGAAATCGCGGAAAATTAAAATTAAACTTTAGCTTTCGAAGAACAAATTTTCAAAGTCAAATCAGCTTGCCATTTTTGCGCTTCAATTTCAAAAATGTAAAATTGTTTTGTCCAAAATTGTACAACTGCTCAGATCGGAGAAAAATTTACCTTTCGACGTTTTGCTTAGACTGAAGAAAGTAAAGGACAAAAATGATGACAGACCCTATCCTCAAAGGTTTGCTTTTTTACTAAAATCTAATCAAAAAAGCAAGTAAGCGGAACTTTTTTACAGAACTCTGGAAGCAGTTTATTTTGCTTGATTCTCGCATCTTTTAACGAAGCAAGACCGGTTTTACAGCTACTCCAATCTCCTTTGCCTTTTAATGTCTGCAGTTCGGAGATTTAGACGTTTGAATTTCCAGTTGTACCAATGACTTTGGACGAGGCTGTTGTTTGAAAATTCATGTCATGGAACGGTGATTGTTAAGACAGCAAGTTTAATATTTTTGTGACTGTCTTTTGCTAGAAAAAAAGAGGAGGAAAATTTTATCGGAATGGAGAAAGCTGTCCATCCCTCTCTTGGCAAACCTCTCGTCAGTCTGTACCAATTGACCCGGGGCAACATCACCCCACTACTGCTTCCTCTGGCAAGGTTAACGGGGTATCCATTCCGTTTACAAGTGGAGTTTGACATTTTGGTCTTGACTGAAGTAATACGTTGCAGTCTAAGATTGGCCAACTGTTGATCACAGCACCGTTATAGATTCATCTATGGCGGTGAAGTCATTCATTGTGTGCTGTTTCCTCTATTTCACTTAAGGCCCGAAGTTAACATTGCCATGACTGTCTACTATAATAAATTCTCAAAATCGATCAATATTAGTGCGTTATATTAAGTTTATCAGATGCTAGTTCACTAAAGATTTGCTTGCTGAGTTGTTAAATGCTGTTAGATGACTTGGTCTCTTTAGGTCCTTGGAAAGCCTCATCCTACTTCTCAAATCGGCACTGCTATTCCTATGGCATTCGCGGGTCCTAGGATGAGCGATGACATTAACTAATGCTATTTTCAGGGGGCCTCGTGAAGCCATTTGGGAGGACATGTGAACCCCCTTTTGTCGCTCAAAGTCTCACTTGTCATCTTTAAGTTATTACTACACAAAATACAATGACCAACCGGTCAGCCACATGAACGTTCGATGTTAAAGCCCTTTCATTCAAGCACAAAGGTTGCAACAGGACGCATAGTCACGAAACCCGTGTTTAAAAAATTGCATGATCCTTCTGTTCGACCAGGTAACCGATTATTCGCCTTTACCTGCATAAAATTAACAAACAACAAATGAAGAAACTTTCTCCACATCGTAATTTTGGGACAAAAAAATTGAAACTGAATGGCCACAAAAACAGTTGGGTTAAAAAAAATCGACTTAATGCCAAATACTGATGCTTTTAAAATAAATAAATGTGTTTGATTCACAGACGACTGATGTGTTGAGAAATGGCACATTACGTAACGGCTTCACAAATGTTACTTTTAAGTTCATTGCAACAAAATCACGTTGAAAATATATTTTTCTCCTTATTTAAACTGATGTGGAACGGAAACGCACATATGGCCTGCAGAATTAAACTGGTTAAAATATTCCAAGCCAAATTTTGAAGTCCCATTGACGGCCCGAAATTTCGAAAATAGCAAATTATGTACTGATTATGAATTTTAGCAAAATTCTTGTCATGTATGGGATTGAGAAATTGCCATTGGTCCAATTTGTAAATCTTGAACCTAGATCCATCACTGTTTTACCCTCACTTCTCAGGCAAAAACCCGCCCGGAGCAACTTCAGCCTGAACTGTGCCAATAAGCAAATAGACCGTGATTTGTCCGCCTTTGCCCGCATTTCCAGTTTGTTCCCTCAGGAGAATGTCCTTTTGCCCCTGTAAAACATATTTTTTGACATGCGCACACAGTACATTTGCAAAATAACTGCACATGACACATATTGAACAAAAAAGTGGTTAGCACTGGTGGCGAGTGGGGTAACTACCTTAACACCACCATCGCCCGTCCTGCCACCACCACGTTTTCCATCAACTACCAGTCTCGGGGGAAACGCCTATCCCCGCACCACTGAATAGGCTGCTCTGATAGGACGAAGCCTTAGGGAGGAAAAGGGTCGTGCACTCACGGTTATTACTGTTAGCAAACTGAAAACAGAGCAAGTAAAGTAGCTGTTTTCTGATGTATGCTGGTGTTACTTACAAGGCAAACAAATCCAATTTCCAGAACATGCACAACAAAAATGAACTTTTTACGAATAATATTTATATAAATCTAATTGAAAGCTGTTTCCATCATTTTTTTCTTTGTTGAAAAAGTCAGAATTTACTAAGACTGAGACTTCGTTATTGTTTACATAGCTAATTTAATCACTCGGCATTATTTGGTTGCCCCACCTCTGTGTTCCAGTCAGCTCAAGGTCATACAGGGTGTTCGCGTGCTGCTCACTCTGAGGTGCTACTCGGTTTTTGGTTGAGACGGTAACAGTTTCCTGAACGAGATCGCGCCCTTGACCGAGCCCTTAAAAGGCGGTGACGACCTAAGTTATGGAGTCCGCCAACTTGCTCTTGGGGCTTGTGTCTGTTTACTAGTAACCGTAACTTTCGGAAATAATCCGTCGTGAATCTGTCAAGAACTCTAACTATTCCCTCAAGTTAATCAATGATGTAGTCATGAATATTCGTTAAAAATGCTGTCGGAACCTTCGTAACCCACTGACAAGTATCGAAAACTTCGATCAAAACAGGTTTTTTCCTTCTGTGACGATGATGAAAACGCGGGAATGAGTAGCATAATTGTTTCTAAATTAATATGCCTATAATTGACGAAAGGTTGAGCAGCTACTTATAATTCGCATACTGAAGGTTTCTGTGAAAGTTAAAGGTTTATCTCTTTTCATAACAACGCTCTTTTTTCAGCTATTAAATCTAAAATGCACTTTTAATGTTTTGTTTTATTGCGCCAAAAGTCGAACACATCTACTCGTGCTTCTGTTGCCACGTACGCTTAACGTCCCTTTAAATTTTAATGATTTGATTACGAGAGCGATGATTGTATAATGTGTTTGTGAATCAAGAACAGTGCATTTGTACATCTGAGTTTGTGCACACAAATTTTACAGTTGTTGAAATTCTACCCAGCAAGTTTAAACTGAATTAATTCTTGTGCATTTATTTGGCTCTATATTAAATACACAAGAGGGTATTTATAACACCGAGATTGGTTCCGAAACATTGGACTGTAGCCAAAGACATGGTGTTTATCCAAACAAATAACCATTTCTTGCCTACGTTCAATGCACATACATTTTGCTAACATAATAATTTTTGCAGAAAATAAACCTTTTGAATTCGCTGCTTGAGTTATGCGGTATACAAGATCTATCAAGTAACCCAGAAACCGCTTCAAAGCTTGCGAGGTGGTCCATGATTTTATTGAAGTTGCCTGTAAAAAGCAAGTTGGATTGCTAATAGATGTGTAGTATAGCTGATAGCAGTATAGAGATAAAATCCGAGTCATCTCTGGATTACACAGACACAAAATGCGCTGTGCCTTTACACTTCAAACCGTCACCAACACAAACATAGGATCTAATAGCCGCACGAAATTCATTCACTGACGGGCTAAGCATGTGACAAATTTGACAGTCGAATGTGCTGTAGCCATTTGTTTGCGTAAAGCCCGTGATGCCATAAATGGGTATTTTTTAAACAATCTTCACGAAGCCACGCCTATTTTTTTTGGATGGCTTTTGAAAAAAAGCGTCGAAAGTTCAGCAGAGGTTGGGATGTTTGACTAGATTCACACAAAATTGTTCCACCATGAGATCTACGTCTTCGTTTAGTTAATTATGGCTCTACAAAATAGCATATACTAAAAACCACCGATTTTAAATTCGCAAAGGTTACAAAAAGAGAATTTATAACTATTTAGTAAGATATAGTTAGTATAACATGCAGTTTATTATTTCAGGCAGCAAAGTTTGGAAAAGATTGATATTATGGAGGTTAAAAACATACATTTATTATTGATTGTCTAAGCTAAATAACAGTGACCCAAATGAGGTGATTATCAGCCAGACATTGTCAGAACCTTATCATTCATATCTTTCAAATGACTGTATTGATTCAAGCTGTCATGATTCAAAAAGAGGATATAAATACTTAATCAGGAAACGACAATTTAGTGGTAAATTAATAGTTAAACTAGGTAATTTAGAAATGCAAATGAGCAAAGCCCCAGAGGCTGCATTTTAGATTTCCTTTTTTTTAAAGTCTCGTGATAAGTTGGAGCAAATTTTTATTTTAAGTAATACATTGACCTTTTTGTCGCATAATAACTGGAGTAAAATCTTGCTATCTGTTCACTTAAGGTGTTTTGATTAATGCTCAAAATACAAGGTAATCTAACTATAATCCCGCCTTTTAGCACACCAAGAAACCTGTCTATTTTAAAATCGAACAAATATCTATCTTATTTTTTTAGGCATATCATGTTCTCTATTGAGCGTTGAAATCAAGTAACTTGTACCATAATGCAGCGCCACAGAAATTGTTTTGGTAGTTAGATAAAGGAATAAATTAACACGCAATATCGAGAAGTTAATAATTATTTATACATATACAGGTAATTCACTGTTAAAAAACTAGCCCCTTATTTTACTCTTTTTTGTTATGTCACGATGTTTGAGTGTACAGTAGTTTTAAGTCATACCAATCACTGCTGTTCATTCATGTCGTAACATAATGTCTCTTTATCATTATACATAGTAATGCGTTTCCATAAATTAATCATGATGTATAAAACTATTAAATAAATGATTGAAAACATGATTGCGTAACTAGACGCATTCAAATATGCATCGTGAATAATTAAACCTGTCTCCTGTGTAGACAACATTTGAGTATCTGGATATCATCGTGTTCACTTAAAATTAGGAAAATTTTTTTAAATTCAAGTAAATCGTCCTAATTTTAAGTTTTCTATGTAAAATAAATTTGGGATATGTTCAATGACTAGTGACTCATGTCAACGTTGACTCTCATCATTTCCGAAACTGTCACATTTGTGGACACCATGAAAAATATCACCA